ATCCGAACCCGTGGCCTTGGTGTTATCAGCACCGTACTCTCCCGAGTGAGCCACAGTCTGGCCCTATAAACCTTTTTATTTTTGTAAGGTCAGTAGTAATCTTCCCACTTTCATTTTTTTTTTTTTGTCCTTTTTGAGACCGGCTGCACCACGCTCAGCCGGTCCTATATAGGATCCGAACCCGCAGTGGGAGCGCCGCTGCGCCCCCAGTGCTGCACTCTCCTGAGTGTGACATGGGCTTGGCCTCCACTTTCATTTTTGATTTTAGTCATTTGAATCTTCTTTTTTTCTTGTCAATTAGCTAAGGGTTTGTCAATTTTGTTGATCTTTTAAGAGAACCACCTTTTGGTTTTTTTGGTTTTCTCTATTTTTTTTTTCTACTCTCCATTTATCTCCATTCTTTATTATTTCCTTCCTTCTGCTGGCTTTTGGTTTATTTTGCTCTTTTTTCTCCTAGTTCCTTTAGGTGTGCAGTTGGGTAACTGATTTGAGGACTTTCTTCTTTTTTAAAAGGCATGTACAGCTATAAATTTCACTCTGCATACTGCTTTCACCTCATCCCATAAGTTTTTTTTTTTTTTTGGATCTGGCCAGCATGGGGATCTGAACCCAAGACCTTGGTTTATCAGCACCACACTCTAATCAAGTGAGCTAACCAGCCAGCCCTGTTGTGTTGTGTTTTCATTTTGATTTGCCTCTGATATTTTCTAATTTCCCTTGTGATGTAGACATTGAATCACTGACTGTTTGAGTGTGTTGTTTAATTTCTACATATTTGCAAGTTTTCCAGTTTTCCTTCTGTTATTGATTTCTAGTTTTATTCCACTGTGGTCGGAAAAGATACTTTGAATGTCAATGGAATTTTGGTCACATATTGTGGCCAGTGGGTGTGTGGATCTACCCTGTGGTTAATTTCCCAGTCCTGAATGTAAAACTAGAATAGGCATCTTCAGCAACTGGTAGAGTCACCATGTTTTCTCTGACCCATGGGGTGAGGGCTATGATGGTACAAAGGGCCAGGTGGAAGACCCGTGAATGTCTCCTTTTTTCAGAACAGTAAATAAAATTTTGTATTCTTGGGAGAATTGCAGAGATAAGGGCCATCATCAGTCTGAAGTATACATGGGTGGTGATTCCTATAATATCTGCTAGGTTGATGCATCTTGGAAAATGACAATAGTTTGTTCTAACTTAATTAGGTAGTGACTCGAATTGCAGCTGTTTTTCCAGAACTGGGATCTCTGATAGAACAAAAAAGATACCCCAAAAAGTTGGGGAAAGTGTTCTATAGGCTGCAATATATGATTTGAACCAGTGGTCAACAAGCAGGGCTTTCTCTATTATGGACAAACTATATGGGTCTGGGAATCAAGGGCAGAGTTGTGAATAGGGCCTCTATTACATCCTATAATCCACTTGCAGAACCTTTGCTTCCAATTCCCAGCAACTCTGACCTTTGCTAGTTTAGATAGCTTGAATACCAAGAGAGAGATGCTTCAACGAGAGGATACAATGGTTCCACTGAGTTGGAAATTGAGACAGCAACATTGCCATTTTGGCTCCTCATTCCATTTAACAACAGTCAAATAAGAGGGCCCTGTACCAGCTGGAGTGATCAGTCCTGATTTCCAAGGAGAAACTGGATTGCTGCTACACAGTGGGGGTGAGAAGGACTGTGTCTGGGACCCAGGTGATTCTGTGGAGTGCTTCTTCATACTGCTGTGTCCCAGATTAGAATTACTGGAAAATTACAGCAATTTAACAATGGCAAGGTCACTGAGGATTCAGACCATTCTGGAATAAAGTTTTCAGTTATTCCACCAGACAAAGAACACCAACCAGCTGAGGTGCTAGCTGAGGGAAAAGGGAACATGGAATTGGTAGAAGGATGTTTAAAAATTAATTATATGACAAGTCGATCCTAAAAATCATAAGGGAATTAATTCGAGGGGCCCAGAATAGCCAAAATATTCTTGGGGGATAAAAATGTTGGAGGACTTATATTTTCTAATTTCAAAATTTACTACACAGCTACAGTAATCAAAACAGTGTGGTCCTGGCATAAGGATGGACATAGAGAGCAATGTGATAGAATTGAGGGACCTAAATCTATGAGCTAAAACTGTAAAACTCTTACAAGAAAACTTAGGAGTAAATCCTCGTGACCTTGGGTTAGGCAAAACCTTCTTAGATATGATATGAAATCACAAGCAACAACAAAAAAATAGACAAATTGGACATCATCAAAATTAAAGCTTTTGCGTATCAAAGTACACTATCAAGAGAGTGAAAAGACAGCCCATAGAATGGGAGAAAATATTTGCAAATCATGTATCTGATAAGGGACTTGCATCGAGTATTTAAAGAACTCTTCCATTTGCAGGTAAAACGATAAATAACCCAATTAAAAAATAGGCAAAGGATCTGAATAGACATTTTCTCAAAGAAAATACATAAATGGCCAGTAAACACACAAGAAGGTGCTCCACATCATTAGTCAGGGAAATGCAAATCTCACACCCACAAGGATGACTGGAACTATTTATATTTTGGTGGCTGGCTGGTACGAGGATCCGAACCCATGACCTTGGTGGTGTAAGGCTGTGCTCTTACCAAATGATCTAACTGGGCAGCCTATGACTATAAATAAAATGTCAGACAACAGTAAGTGTTGGTGCGGATGTAAAGAAATTGTAACCTTCACGAACATTGCTGGTGGGGATGTAAAATGTTGCCAAGGTAGAAAACAGTTTGAAAGTTTCTTAAAATATTAAGCATAGAGTTACTACTCTCAGATATATAAACCTGCAACTCTGCTCTTAGGTATATAACCAAGTGAAATGAAAACATACACCCAGTCAAAAACTTGTATGCCAACGTTCATAGCAGCGTTACTCATATTAGCCAATGGTGGAAACAACTCACATGTCCATGAACTGATGAATGGATCAATTATGATACATTGGTACAGTGGAGTATTTTTCTACTATAAAAAGTAATGAAGTTCTGATACAGACGATGACGTAATTGAACTTGAAAACATACTAAGTGAAAGAAGCCAGTCACCAAAGACTACATGTTGTATGGCCCGAACTATCTAAATCTGTATAAATCTATAGAGACAGAAGGTAGGGTAGTTTAATAGTTACCTAGGTCTGGGGGAGGGATGAAATGGGGGGTGACTGCTAATGGGTACTTTTGGGGTGATACAAATGTTCTAAAATTAAATTGTGGTGATGGTTGCACAACCCTGTGAATACATTAGAAACTATTGAACTTTACACTTTAAGTGGCGAATTGTATGTGAATTATATACAATATCATTGTTTAAAAATCAATTAAGACACCGTAACCAGTTGTACAAACAAGGCCTGTAACAGTTGTGCATATTTTCTTCTTTGCTTGTTATATGTGTATGAAATCTCTCCCTTCCTCTAGTTCCCTTATTTTATTTGAAAGTATGATGGTGATGATGGACTTTACCAGCTAAGTCTTTAGGACGTGTAATATTCAGATGGAATTGTGACCAGAATCAAAATCGCTGAGTGATGGATAGGATGACTGCAGAACTTTGCTGTCTGCCCTTGCAGGCAGAGAATGACACGTCTGTGCACAAAGGACACTTGTGTCTTGTGAGGTGCATGCAGCAAGAGTCTAATGGAAATGGAATGGGGGAGAAGGTGTGTGTGGCTGCTGAGCAGCAAGGGAGGGACCGTGCTGGCGACTTACTGTGTCTCAGCCTCAAGTTTGCTCCCTTTTCTGCTCTGGGCTGCTGTTGCTGGACTACTGAAAACTACATTTCCCAGACTTCCTTGTCGGCCAGCTTCCTGTTAAGTTCTGCCTGCTAATGGGGCCTGCTGAGGGGGACTGGAATTTGAAAGAAGGGAAGAATTTCTCCTGCTCCTCTCCTGCAGACATGAGTCCCAGCACCAACTGCTTAGACTTCAACCCTCCCCCACAACACGCATCACAAATCCCAGTACTGGCCCCCTGGGGCTTCTCTCTCCAAATTCCTCTTTTGCTTGCAAGGTAACCCCCAGTGATCCTTCCTGGTCCTGGTAGTCATGGTCTTGTGCGGCACCCTGTGCCTTAATCAGGATTGGCTGTGACCAATGGAACGTGATGGAAGTGACAAGGGGTGACCTGAGGCTAGGTCATAGAGGGCAGTGGCACTTTTGCTGGCCTCTCCTGTGATGCTCATTCTGGAGGTTGCCGTGAGGACAAACAGAACTGGGGAGAGGCCCAGGTGAGCTGAGGCTGCAAACAGCCACACTCAACTTGCCAGCCACATGAAGGAGCCACCTGCAGCCCTAGGAGAGGCCCCAAACCCAAACCACCCACCCGAGCTGCTCCCAAATTCTCAACAGAAATTGTGAGCAATAAGGGCTCACTGCTATTTTAAGCCCCAAAATTTAGGGGTGATTTTTATGCAACATTAGGCAACTAAAGTGACCACGTCTTTCCTTAAATCTTTTAGCCCAGGGCGTGGTAACCACTTCCTGCAGTTCACCTCTGGGTTACCTGTGTCTACTTTTTGCCCTTCCGCTGTCTTTCAACACCTGTGAAACAATTCCCTGTGTTAAGTGTTCTATATTTGAGATAACTAGTGTCGTTTCCAATTTCCTGATTACACCCTTTCATTTTAGAAAGAAAACATTAAGTGAAAGGCATATTTCCGAGTGTTACCCTGGCCCCACATCCCACTTGTGAAAATCCTTTGCTGGCCTTGGCTGGGCACTCCCCCTGCTCTGCATGCAACCCCGGCTCTCCTGCCACCCACCCTCACTGCCCTTCCTGCCCACCCACTCCTGTCTTATCAGACTTTTTTTTAATATAAAGATGACTGGTAAGGGGATCTTAACCCTTGACTTGGTGTTGTCAGCACCAGGCTCTCCCAAGTGAGCCACGGGCTGGCCCTTCTCGTCAGACTTCTAAGTCCTCTCTTGTCTCGACTATTTCCTTGGGGCCCCCAGACAACACTCAGCAACGCAGGCCCTGGGTGGGGAGTACAGAATGTAGTTTATTGTTCTGCATCTGGGGCTTCTTCCTTAAACATCACGGTTCCTGGATGGAGGCGAGTGGGTCCTGCCTCCCTAAATTGTGGTCCCACGGGCCTCTTGGGATTGTGTTCCAGGTTCAAAGTGCACTGAGAAAGCTTCACAGTTTTAATACTTCCTAGATGCTCAACTGAGGCAAAGTGACAAAATGGCCCTCCTACCCCACCCGCCAAAAAAATAAAACCCCAAGCTCCCAGCAGCTGCTGCTGCAGCCATATGAAAAAATAATACAAACTCTTTTTAAAAAATAGATTACACAGAAAGAACCCAGAGGACAGAGGGGCATGAGGAGGGGCCGAGGCTGCTGCAGCCACTGGCAAGAGACGCGGGGGAGAGGCGGGAGGGGGGCTGAGATGAACTTCGGGCTGGGTGCTTGTGGCCGCTCGCCCTGTCTGCTCTGCCCGACCTCCCTCTGCCTGGGCTGCACTCCCAGCAGCTCTGGCTCAGGCACCAAGGCTCCCCTCTCCCGCAAGGGACCCCTCTGCACCCTGAGGCCTGGTACCTACTTCTCACTAAAGTGGCTTTGACAAACAAACAAAAAAGACCCAAAGCAAGAGAAAGGGCTGTTGCCTAGCCCATGGGGACTTCTGTTCTGCAGGGTCAGACCTCTCTCTGCTCTGGGCATTTGGGCAATTATCAATACCTGTTGCTACCTAGACAACCCCTAGGGGTAATGAGCCCGACTCCCCATGTGGCTCCTGGGAACGCAGACTCCTGGGAACTTGGCCTCCCCTTCACACACGCCCTCCACGCACCCTGCATGACAGGGCATGGTTCGGAGGCTGCCTTCCAGCCGCCCTGGGGGAGCTGCAGACGGGCAGCATGCGCAGGACGGCTGGTGGTGAGTGGACTGGGCGCCACTCTCAGGGCCCTCCAGCTCATGCAAGGGGAAGCGAGGGGCGGAGGCCCCACCAAGACAGGTGAGGCAGGGCAGAGTGACAGTGTGCACGCAGCTGGGCCAGCACTGGGGCTGGGGCACAGGAGGGTGGGGGTGCCAGCTGCAGGGTGGGAGAAGGCAAGTCAGGGCCTGCTCTGGCCAAGGCCCCACCCCTGGCCACCTCCTGCAGAGGAATCTGGTGAGGGTAGATTCTCCAGAGGTGGGGACGGGGCAGCTGGGTGGGCCAGACTCAGTCGGGGACCTCTGGGTGGGCAGGCAGTCCACTGTCACCACGCCGGTAGGTCTCCCAGAAGCCCCTGTCCAGCTGCTCCAGCTGTGGGCCCAGTGGCAGGTGGCCGGCCAAGTGCATGCGGAGGGTCTCCAGCCAGTGTTCCAGCTTCACGAAGGAAGGCCTGGGTGACAGGTGGGGTGGATAGTGGGTCTGGCTCTCATGGGAGCGGCCCCACCCCCAAGGCTGCCCCAGGCCGAGGCCCCACCTGACTCACCTCTTCTCAGGGTCCAGATCGCAGCAGCGCACAGTAATGGGGAAGAAGCTCGGGGGGCAGTTTGGGGGGCAGTAGCGGTCCAGGAAGCCTCTAACATTGAGGCCAAAGTCCATGGTGCGGGGCAGGTAGTCGGGGTCTGCATTCACCCGCCCAATGATCTGTCCAGCACAAGGCCAGCAGTTATTTGGGGGGGGGCCCTCAGCAGCCTGGAGGTCTGGGCACTGTCCAGGTGGTTTGAGGGCAGGGGACACTGGGACTGGCCCCAGGCTGACCACCACAACCCCCCGGGGCCAGGCCATCCCCTTGCTCTGGGCAGCCCTGTCCCCAGGAGCCCTCTGGCCCATGGCTCCTGCAGATTCCAGCCTGCAGCCTGGGAGCATGAGGGTGGAGAGGAGCTGCTGCTGCCCACCCCAGACCTACCTCGCACAGGACAATGCCAAAGGAAAACACATCCACCTTCTCGTCATAGCTGCGTCCTGCGCAGAGAGACCATTGTCAGCAGGTGAAGCTGGGCCAGGGACCGAAGGCCACCAGAGCTTAGGCTCTGCTCCCACCCCACCAGGTGAGAGCGACCCTTGGGGAGGCCTGAGGGGTGAGGATGAAAGCTCTGGGCAGGGAGCTCCAGCCCAGCTCAGTCACTGACCAGCAGCGTGACCCGGGCACGGACTCTGTGGTGGCCCTAACAGACAACCATGCCAAATCTCTGGAACCTGTGGACGCTACTTTATTGGGAAAAAAAAGTCTTTGTAGATGTGACTAAGTTAAGGATCTTGATGAGACAGTCCTGGACGACCTGAGCGGGCTCTAAATGTCATCACAAATGCCCTTCTGAGAGAAAGAAGTCATGCGGAAGAGGAGCTGTTCACGTGAGGACCGAGGCACAGACTGCAGTGACACAGCCACTAGCCTAGACATGCGAGACAATTAGCAGCCATAAGAGGCAAGGGACTCCCACCTGCAGTCCCTGGGACAGGGGAAGTGCAGCTCTGCGGGACTTCAGACTTTTGGCCTCCAAAACTGTGAGAATAAATTTCTGTTGTTTTAAACTACCAAGTTTGTAATAATTTCATTGGTTACGGCAGCCTCAGTTTCCTCATTCGTAAAATGGAAATAATACCATCTACCTACTGATGTTAACAGCAATCTGTACCGTTGCTCTCGTTTCCTGAACGCCAGCAAGGCAGCAACAGTGTAAAAGCCTTACCTGATCCTCACACAACCCCTATTTAAGTCTGTTTGACAGGTTAAGTTATTGGGGGGCTATGCTGACCACATTACCTTTGGCCAGTGCTGCTGCTCAGTTGCTCTGAAGCTATGTTTGTGCATCACCTGCTGGGGAAGGACTTTATAACCTGTAGACTGGGCAGACATAGGACCACTGATAACAAAGATATGAAGTGGGGGACAGAGGACCTGCGGGAGGCAGAATCATGGCCCTCAAAGACGTCCATGTCCCAATCCCTGGGACCTGTATATGTGCTACTTTACATGGGACTCTGCAGGTGGGATTAAGTTCAGGGTCTTCAGACAGAGAGATTATCCTGGATTATCCAGATGGGCCTAATGTCATCACAAGGGTCCTTCTCAGTGGGAGTCAGGAGGGGCAGAATTGGGAAGGAGACGTGACCGTGGACGCAGAGGTCCGACAGGACAGAAGATGCTACACTGCTCGCCCTGAGGATGCAGGTGGGCCTAGGGCCACAAGCCAAGAAAGGAGGCGGCCTCCAGGGGCTGCAAGAGGCCAAGAAGCAGATCTGCGCCCCAGCCCCCGGCCCCCAGAGCCTCCAGAAGGAGTGCAGCCCGGCTGACGCTTGGTTTTAGCCCAGTGAGACTGGTGTGTGTTTCTCACCTGCAGAACCATATGATAGTTTGTTATTTAAGCCACGGAGTGTGGCAATGTGTTACAGCAGCCATAGGAAACTAACACAGTCCTAAGGAGAAAGCTGGGGGGCCAAGGAAGTTGGGAGAAGCCAGGGGAGTAGCCTCCCCGGGAGGGTGTGGGGCCATCCCCGAAACCTGGGGGGCTGGTAGGTCGGCCCGCCCACTCACCGTGGATCATCTCGGGGGCCATCCAGTAGGGGTTGCCTACCACAGTATACCGCTTCTTGCGGTCTGGCTTCTTGAGGCTTCGCAGGTCCTCGGGCTGAGTCTTCTCATCAACCATGAGCCGTGCCAGCCCGAAGTCGGCCACCACCACATTCTTGTTCTGGGAAGATGGGGCACGGTTGCACTGAGACATGACCCTAGCACTCCCTGCCCAGCCTGCCCCTTGCCAGGACCCCACACCAACCAACAGACAGCCCAGAGAACACACCTGAATCCTGGAGGCCAGGGCAGGGACCCCCACCTTGCCCAAACCCCTCTGCTCTTTGCAAACGCAGCTGCCTAAAGCACCTGAAAACGCCGGCCTGGCTCCACTCCCCACACCTGGGTTGGGCCCTCTGTACTTGCCCCACCTGCTCCCCCCAACCATCCCAGTGCCCCCACTCCTCCCTCTTCCAAGTACTTTCTCCACCTCATCAGGGCACTAGCACTGCCTCATCTTGGAAAGGAAAACAGGAATTCTGATTACAGACCCAGGTCCTACATGTGGCATGTCACAGATTTTATCTTTAATTCTCCCAAAGACCCAGTGAGGTGTATGTTATTTTTAACCCCATTTTTTTTTTAAATCTGATGAGATGACTCAGGCCTAGAGAGGTTTTGAAAGCTGCCCAAGGCCACCCTGCTGGAAAGTGACAGAGCTCAGACTCAAACCCAGCACTCGGTGCCCCTGGCTCTTGTGACTAAGGTGTGTGGGAGCCTCCAGGGCCCACTGGAACCCCGCAGAGTGAAGTGCTGTCTGCTGTGTCTGCTCTGCAAGACAGGGAAACCAGGGGTGCTCCTGAGAGACGAGGGGAGGGATGGGGACAAACACTGGGCATCAGTGCAAGGCAGGGAGCTGGACACGTCCTCCATGGGGCTTGGGGTGGGGCCTGCTTGGGGCTTGGTGTCCAGGGCCCTGGTGGCCCGGCTCCACTGGGCAGCCCCAGGGTTGGCCAGTGTTACCTGGGCACCAAGGAGAGGGTGAGGAGGCAGGCCCTGGCCAGTTGGGATCAGGACCAGGCTCACCCTGAAGGGAAGAACCCTGTGCTGCCTCTGGGATTGATGCAAGCCAGGACAATCACCTGGAGAAGACACCACAGGGACTGTGCATGGGGCAGGGGCTGGATTGCCCCTCTCCTCTGAGTTCTTTCTGTGTAATCTATTTTTTAAAAAGAGATGGTCTCTGCTGTAGGATCAAGAACCCTGCCCTGGCCCTGCCCACCACACTGCCTTGGGCTGCAGTGACTCCCTGCTTGGTAGTGTGAGCAGACTCCCAGGGAGGCCTGGGCCATCCAGCCTTGCCTACCTCTCTGTACTCATTACCCACCGCTTCCCACAGCCTGGAGGCTCCTGGAGCTCCCAGGACACTCACAGAGGCTTTGACCCCCACCCCACAGCAAGTGGTATGGCACTTCCTGAGTGTCCATGTGACATTCTTCCTGTGCTGAGTTCACTCGGCAAACGCCTATCTGGGGAACCTCCTCCTCTGGGACTGGATCTCAACCTTCCTGTAGTGTGATGAATGGTGTCCTCCCTGCCCCCCAAATTCATGTCCACCTGGAACCCCAGAATGCAACCTTATTTGGAATAGGGCCTTTACAGATGCAATTAGTTAAGACAAGGTTATACTGGATTAGAGTGGGTCCTAAATCCAGTTATTGTGTCCTTATAAGAGGACACACAGACACACAGACACCGACACATACAGACACAGACACACACACACACACAGGGAAGGAAGCCATGTAAAGACAGAGGCAGAGACTGGAGTGACACGGCCACAACTCAAGGAACACTAGGGATGGCCAGCCGCCAGGAGAGAGGCACGGGACAGATGACCCCTCATAGCCTCCAGAAGAAACCAACATTGCCAACACCTTGATTTTGGAATTCAGGCTTTCTGAATTCTGAGAGATTAAATTTCTGTTGCCTTAAGCCATCCAGTTTGTGGCACTTTGTTACGGCAGCCCTCGGAAACAAACATGCTGCCTCTCCTGCTAGGCACGGCTACTCCCTCCTCTGCCTTCTGTAGTCCCCTCAGTCACCAACCCTCAGACCCCTCGCTCCCTGACTTTACCTCCCCACTTAAAGATATCCTCCCAAAGCCTCCTCTTTCAGGAACCCTGCCCTGACCACCCCACCCACACACCTAAGCCCTCCCAACTGTAGGTGCTACCTGGCACAGCCAATGGCCACTCCGCCATGGGCTGTCCTCTGAATACCACTATCCTGGCCCATTACAGTTTCCGTGTCACTTTCGCCTTCATCGACTTATTAGACCCTACTAAAAGCCATCAGAGGCTTGGGGCCGCACAGTGAGTAAATGACAGAGCCAGGATTTGTACCCAGGTCTGCTGCCTCCTGACCTTGAACTGCCTCTTGACCCTGAACTGGAGTGAGGGAGGCAAGCCAGGGAGCTGCAGTTCAGGGAAAGCCCTGACACTAGGCGTATGGTGGCCCTGCTCTCCCCCCTGCCCCCACCCCTGGGGGCCCAGCCACTCACCTCACGCACCAGGCAGTTGTGGGAGTTGAGGTCCCTGTGGATGATGTTCATAGAGTGGAGGTAGGCCTGGGACAAGGGGGGTGGAGGTCAAGAGCAGCTGCACCGCAGGGCCCTGGCCCCCGGGGACCTCCACCTTCCCTCCCACCCCAGCAGGCCGGTTGGGGTACTCTTCCTACTGGCCATTCCCCCCTGCCCTCTTCCAAAGCCTCCTGTGGGCTCCGTCTCTAAGTTCCTCGTGGGATCATAGGTTAGCGGTCAAGTGCTTCTGAGCGGGGCTGGGTGGCCGGCGCACTCACCATCCCTGAGGCGATGTCCTTGGCAAAGCTCACCCTCTGGCTCCACGGGTACTGGCTGTCCTGGGGGTGGACAGAGAATGGCTGGCATGGAGGCAGCAGCGGCAGGACAGTCATGGGAGAGACAGCAGGAGGGGCAAGTGTCCCAGGGTCTGGTGGCCCCTGCTCACTTCTGCTTTTAAGGGGTATGTGTGAACAACTCAAAAATGCCATTACAGAACTGACTTCATATGCTAAAGGGGAGTATTCCTCTACAATTCCCAATCTGCTTCTTCTCAGAAAAAAAGTGTACTGGATTGAATAATGTCCCCCAAAACTCGCTGAAGCTCAAATTGTGTCCTCCAAGTTTTATGTATTAGAAACTTAGCCCCCACTGTGTCTGTTAAGAGGGTGGGAAATCCTATTATGGTAATTGAAAGGTGGAGCCTCGAAGAGGTGATTGGATTGTAGGACCATGCAGTAGTGAATGGATTAAAATGGTCAAGGGCGTAGTTCTGAGGGCTCTAAAAGAAGAGGAGAGTCTGTCTTGGTCTCTCTGTTCTCTCTGCTTCCACCATCTTGCAATGGGAGACCCCTGGGTCACTGTCACCACCACCAGATGGACTTTGGACTTCCCAGCCTCAGAAACAGTAAGCAAATAAATTTTGTTTTCTTTCTAAATCACCCAGTTTCAGGTATTTTGTTATAAGCAGCATAAGCGGACAAATACAAAAAGCTATATTTATCTTCTATAAGATCCCATCCTTTTAAGTTTTTAAAAAATCTGGACCTACTTTCACAGGCAGACAGTAATAGAAGGGTCAGTGAGGTCACCTGCAGAGTGCCTGCCCCGAGTCACGCCAGGAGTTCGGGGCCTTGGTCTCAAAGCATTTGGGGAGACGCCTCATTCTCTAACTCTGTCCCCTTGGAGACCTCGAGCAAGAGGTTTGGAGTGTCAGAACAGATTAGATTCAGAGGTGCAGGGAAGAGGCCTGAGATCTGCATCACTCCTGATCGCAGAATCCCTTCTGGGAAGTTGCAACTATCAGGAGCCCATGGGGCCCACACTCTGGGAAATACCAGGTAATCCAACCTGAGGAAATGAGGACTCAGGGGCTCCAGGAGGGAACGAGACCTCGTGCGCTCAGGGTGACACCAAAATGGGGCTGGAAGCCAGGCCTGGCTCCTGGGGCAGGGTCTGGCACGAGCACACCAGGTGGCTTCCCTCCAAGTACCTGACTCTTGAAGGTGGATTTATCATCTTAAAACCTCACAGAAAGTTCTGAATTTTATGGAATATGCTAAATACTCAAAATGATTTAGCTTTGCCAGAGGCTGTACACAAGGGCCCACCACAGATGGGTAGGTGGAAGGTGCTTCTGCTCGGTGTTTGACCTGTCACAGGTGTGGCAGGGCCCAAGCCCCACAGGATGGCCAGTTGGAAACAGCCTTCCACCCCCTCTAGGCCCCAGCTTTTTCCCAGCTTCAGATGAAGTCAGTTGCTCCCCATTTGATTCAGAATCAGGGTTGAGAGGGTCTTTGAGACCCTTGAGGCCAATCCCCACTGAAGAGATGAGGAGACTGATGCCTGGAGAGGGAGCTGCCTTGCCACGCGGTGGGCAGGGGATTCTGCTGGGTACTCACCATGCTCTTGATGATGCCCCAGAGGGTGCCCCCCTTGATGTACTCGGTGATGAAGTTGAGCCTCTTGTCCTTGTACAGCACCCCGATGAACTTGAGCACATTGGGGTGCTCCAGGCAACGCATGACCTTCACCTGGTGGGTACAAACAGGCTGGGCCCGGGGCTCCTCCTCCCCCTACCCTCCCCACACCTGGCCAGCCGTGCTCTTTGCTTGGGCTGCTGCCACCCCCGGCGAGGCCCTCCTAGCAGACACTTTCTCTTCTTTCACATGTGGTTCCACCCATGACTCCGGCCACCCCTCTCATGGGTCCAGAGGGGTGACGGTTCCACTCACTGACCTCCTTGAGGAACGTCCTCTGGGTCTCCTCGTCAAATCGGATCAACTCCTTCATTACCATCACCTCGCCAGTCTCACGGTGCGTCACCTGTGTGGGGGACACCGAGGCATGAAGACCCAGGACAGACAGAGGATCTGCTCTAAGCTCCCCTCCTAGGAAGCCCCCTCCCCACCCCAGGACTGCTGGGGAGATACGTGGACAGCTTCAGGTGCTTCAGACATCTCATGATGCTCCCAGACACGTGAGGGAGTGGGAAAGGCTAATCCCTTGACAGATGTGGAAACTGAGTCTCTGAGAGGTTTCCTAACAAGGCCCAAGATCACCCGGTAGGCAGGGAAAGGAGCACTGGAACTTAGGTTTGGATCCCCTGACCCTGGGCCTTTACTCTGCTGGTCTGTCTCCTCGAGGTCAAATTGCACCTCAACCAGGGACTCCGCACCTGGCAGGGGGCCAGGGACAGGTGCAGAGGCATCTGGCTAGCCTGGCCTGCACTTTCTGTATAATCCCAATCCTTCCAGCATGGGACAGCCTGTGTCCCTGTCTGAGGAGAGTGTGAAGCGGGTAAGCAGACCACAGGCCATGGCTGGCATCAGGTCAGCATGGGGCCCCAGGGAGGGGCACTCAGGGTCAGTCTGGCTTCCCTGCCCTCCCATCTCCCACCCCAAGGAGCCACCTTCCACCAACTCCTGCATGTAAGGTTTTAGGTCTATCTGCAGTAGGTCCCCTCCGCCTAACCAGCTCAAGGAGACCCAGGTGGAGGGGGGAGCACTGGCCAGGGAGTCTAGGAGCCAGATCCCCCTTCCACTGTGGACTCCTGGAGGGTACTGGTGGGGGAGGAAGGAGTACTGAGGAGTCTCACCCAGACTGCCCCCGCCCACCCCGCATGCCCTGTACCTTGATGGCCTGGCCGAAGCAGCCCTTGCCCAACACCTCCCCATGGATGAGGTCTGATGGCCGGAAGATGCGGTGTGGCCGAGAGACCACACGGAGGGACTCAGAGCGACCTAGATCCTTGCACTGGGAGGCTGGAGAGGCCAGCGAGCCGGCACCTGGAGACCTGTCGATGCTGCAGCTCCTCCTGGGGAGGCACACAGTCCCCAGTGCCATGGAGGTGGGGGCAGCACCTGGCCAGGGCCCTGCCCCCTTTCTCCTCCCCACCTGTTGTGCCCCCATCAGTGCTGGTTTATATAGTCACCCCTGGTCAGGGACAGGGTGGGACAGCTCAGTCCTCCTGGGGCTGCCCGCTCCTCCTGGAACCCCACCTCCCGTCCCAGCCTTGTCCTGGTGCCAATGCCCAGTTTTCCCCAGTTCTGCTCTGTCTTCCAGTTTGAGGTCCACTATCATGCAGATGCCCTCAGTGGGAATGTCTGCCCTTGGCATCCTCTGCTTGTGGCCCTGGGTCAGACGCTTTGTCCTCCAGCACATGGTCTCAGACTTTACAGGACAGAGGCAGACACCCTACCTAAGATGCCCATAACTTCACCACATAGGCAGTCCCACAGCGTGGCCTGAACTACAGACAAACGCAGGTGAGGAGGGAACACGTGCCTTTTTAACATTTTGATTTCTTAGAGCAAGGGCTGTCACCCCAGAAGGTGTCTCCTGAAACTTCACCAGGAGTCCCAAGCAGGTCCCATCGTTTAAGTGCAGTGAGGACCAGGCTGCCTCTGCATTTCTTCATCCTGTCCTCCTTCTTCCTCCTCCCCAGGTTCAAGAGAATATGGGACCCTCGGCACCTGCTGCCTGGACTTCTGCAGTGGCCGGCTAGCTGTCTCTGGCCAGGAATGCCTCCACCCCAAGTCCCTCCTGCACAGTGGACCAGAGTGGTCTGTATGAAATATATGACTTTGCTGCATCACCCCTTCAGGGGGGCCCGTGATGGGGGGACAAAGTCCAAAGACCCCTCCACATCAGACACCTTGCCATTAGCTTGTGCCTCAGAGCCTAGCCCTCCCGTCCCCCTATGCTCCCGTCATCCTGACCTAGTCGCTGGCTGCTCTCTATGAAGCCGGGAGGCTGGCCCACCCTGAGAGGGCTCTGTAATTCCCCAGCCAGGGGCACTGCTGCCCCTCGCTTCCTGCTTCTCACCACCCTTCCTCTTCAGAGTGCTCAGCACCCCCACGCTGGGCTGCTAGTTTGCAGGGCTGGCTCCCCTATGAAACTGCGAGCTAGTGAAGGTGGGGCCCGTCCCATGGCCTGGGCCCATCCCATGGCCCAGCCCCAGTGAAATCACCTAGATAAGCCAAGGAGCAGGCTGACTTACAAGACAGGCTTATGCCGGGCAGAGCTGCCCACCTCCCCACTGGGAGTGTGCACTGGGGAGCCCAGAGGGCTGGGCTCAGGCCCCAGCCCATGGCCCAGGGTGTCATGGGGGTCATGCTCAAGGGTCAGCTGGAGGAGGCGGCTGGTTTCCTGGATGAGCAGATCAATCTGAGGAGAGCAGGTGTGTGAACAGGTGAGTCAGTTGTGGTGGTTATGTAGGTGGGGTCAGGCATGAAGGCGTTCCTTCCAGTCCTGCCCCCAGACGCAGGATCCATACCTCATCCAGGGGCACGTTCCGGATGGGCGTGCCATTGATTTCTAGGATCCGGTCTCCGACGTGGATGGAATTCTTCACATCTGGGCTCATGCAGCCCGGGTCCACTCTGTGGGTAGAGCAGTGGTCAGACCAGTGCCCACCTGTCCCCTGCAGCCCCAACAGGAAACCAAAGGGAAGGGGACCAGATCAGGGGTGAGGGGGCAAATGACTCCATGTGATTGGGAGGTGGCAGCTATCCAGAACACTGTGCTCTGGTTTGGCGGGATGAATTCTGTAATCAATTACTGATGTCTGTCGTAGGCGTGGCACTGGAGAAATGTGACTGGCCCGCGGGTGTCTGCAACCCCAACTAGAGGTTTGGTTGCTCCCATTCAACAGAACGTCGTCTCCACCATGGAGGACAGACCTGTCCTTCCAGCTGCCTGGTATGCTTGGGACAGACGAGTGCCACGAGATGGGTCCTCAAAGGGTCCAGATCCACTGGCTTTCTACCTGACTCCCAACCCGCCCTGCAAGAGGCCAAAGCTCCCACTGCTCCTGAACTGGCAGGAGGGGCTAGAGCCCACCTGGTGCCACAGCTGCAGGGTGGACACTGGAATGACACCTCCAATTAGTTGGCCATAAGCTAATTCACAAAACGGCCAATTTGCCAAATTTACTTGCTTCTACAACCCTCTGGTGCTTAGTTACCTGGTTTTCATTTTGTTTCATGAAAGCTCTTTAAGGCCTGTTCACTTTGTCTCCACCCTACCTCCCCGAGATGGGGAAGTGGGGAGAGGCAGACAGGAGATAGAGAGCTTTAAAACAGCTTCATGAAAAGTCTTCATCATCAAGAGTGTATTCTCACACGGGGGAGAAGCTTTTCCTTACAGGAGAAAGCCAGCTAAATAAGCCAGTGGAGGGAAGACCAGAGTTAGAACATCACCATTTTGCAGCCATCACAGTAATAATTGCTACAGGCGAGAATCTTTGATGGATGCTAAAACCATTTGATGAAAGGTTGTTGGGGAACAGGATATTTATAGACTCAAATCTCACAAATGGTGTATTGATTACAAAGAGAGAAACAAAGCCTTTACAGTAGAGGACATAAACCAAGTAATCAATATTAATATCCCCAAAGGGGATAATGACATCATGTGTCCCCCGGCAAGATGCACCTGGAAGGACACAGCCTCATTTCGGTGGTTTCAGGCCAAAAAGGCAGAACCGAAATCTAACGAGGAGGAAACACCAATTACACCCAAATGGAGGGACATCCTATTTAACCACTGGTCTATATGCTTCACAATGTCAAGGTCATGAAGACAATGAAAAACTGAGGAACTGTTACAGATTAAAAGAGACTAGAGAGATGTGATGGTTCACTACAATGTATGATCATAGACTGGGTCCTGGATCAGGGGAAATTGCCATAAAGAACAGTATTGAGACAATTGGCAAAATTTGAATATGGACTGTGTATTAAATAGCATCAGTGTTGAAGTTCCTAAATGTGAAAACAACAATGTAAGAGAACACCCTTGTTTTCAGAAGAATGGCTAAAGTATTTGGTGTGTGTGGGGGATCAATGATGCCTGCGACTCACTCTCAAATGATTAACAACAATGTGTACATATATGTGCATGTACAAATAAAAGTAAGTCACTTTATATTATACTACTTATATCTTAGTAGGTATATTTGTACATGTATATATATATATATATACACATATAAAGATAGACACATGTATGAGGGTACTTCAAAAAGTTCATGGAACAACAGAACTAAAAGATAATACAAATCTTTCCATGAACTTTTTGAAGACCACTCTTATACCCTCCACCTAAATGTGGCAAAAAGTTAAAATTGGCGAACCTAGGTGAAGGATGAATAGGTATTCAACGTACTTAATATTTTGGCAATTTTTCTCTAAGTTAAAAAAATTTCAAGATAAAAAGTTGAAAAAACAAAGAATACATTTTCGTTGATACAGGCTTTGCACGGATATAGCCTTAAAACTATATTCCTTAGATTCTCTCTCCTCTCCCTCAGTCTCCTGCTAAAGCAGCAGGGGGCTGGGGCCCAGAAAATCTTTCCTTAAAATGCTGCTATAAACCACATGAAAAGCGGTCAGCTAAAACTAGTTTAAAACAGGCAAGTAAATCTGGTCAGTGGCCTTTGGGGGAGCTGGGCTGCTTCCAAGAAGGGCGTGGCTCTTTGCAGAAGTTGTTGAGAAACCAGATGTTGGCTGGAAAGAATGCTCATCCAGTGAGGCTGGCAGGGAGGAGTTGTCATTGAGTCTCTTCCTTCCTAAAATTCTGCCCGGTTTTCAGGGACCGGCTGGGGCCTCTGCCTCTGGGGACACCTACCTCTCATGGCCCTTTGGTAAGAGCCCTTGGTCTGGGAGTTTCCTCGTCTCCCTCCCTGGCCTGTCTGCTCACTTGTGAATAGAAACAGCTGCTGGCCTGGCTGATGTCAAGATGGGGGGTGGAGACCCAGCGTAGAGGCCAGCATCAGCTTCCTTCCCCAGGACCACCTGCCCTTCTCACCTGTGCCGAGGTGTGGTGCCTACTACCTGCCAGGTGTACGAGAAATGCTCGCTGAATCAAATGGAAGCTGGCACTTGGCTCCCATGCCCAGAAGTGGGGATATTTAAAACTACTTCTCAAGAAGTCAACGAAGGCTTGAGAGACATCTTAGAAGGCTCCCAGGTATCCAACTCACTTGTTTTCAGACAGACCCCAAAGTCAAGGGAAGAGAAAGGAGCTGCTCAAAGTCACACAGTGTGTTAGCAGCTGGGCTGGCCCTTTAATCTGTAGTCCTTCTTGCATCTCAGATGTTTTTTACATGCTACATAATTTTCTTTAGGGATAATCTGCTAGTATCAAATCTCGGTTGCCTGTCTTAACATGTCTTTATTTTACCTTTACTCTTTTTTTTTTTTTTTTTTTTTTTTTTCCATGTCCGGCAACGGATCGCAACCCTCAGTGTTGCCCCCATACCGGACCGGGGACCGGCAACGGGAGCGCAACCCTCGGCGTTGCCCCCGCGCCTCGCTCAGCCAGTGAGCGGGAACCGGTCTGTATATGGGATCCGAACCCTCGGGTGGGAGCGCCGCCGCGCTTCCCAAGCAGCGCACTTATCCAGTGCGCCACCGGGCCGGCCCTTACCTTTACTCTTGAAGGATATTTTCTTTTTCTTTTTTTTTTCTTTCTTAAAGAATATTTTCATAAAATAGAGAATTCTAGGTTGATGGTTATTTTTGCTCATTACATTAAAAACAGTATTTCACTGATTTCTGGCTTCCATTTTTTCTACTGAGAAATCAGCTGTTAATCTAATTGTCTTCGGAGGTAATTCTGTCTTTTTTTCCATGGCTACTCTTAAGGTCTTTTCTTTTGCTTTTGGTGGAGTACAGTTTCACTAGAGGTGTCCATGTGTAGATTTCTTATTTTGCTGTTTGGGATTTACTGGACTTGAGTCTGTGGATCAGTGTCTTTCATCAGTTCTGCGAAGTTCTGAGCCATGAATATCTTCAAATCTTGCCTCTCTCCCATTTTCTGTCTCTTCTCCTTCTGGAGCTCCAAGCAGATGATTATTAGATCTTCTCACTCCGTCCTCCATGTGTTTTTACCTCTCTTTCACAGTTTTCAACATTTCATCTATTTCTCTCTTTGGTTGTCTTGGTTGTTTTAAACTCCACTCTACCATTAAACCCTTGCAATGAGATTTTCATTTTAATAATTATATGTTTCATTTCTAGGGGTTCTATTTGGTTCTTTTCCAAATTTGCTCTTCACTCATTTTTAAGCATCTCTTACTTATTAAAACATACTGGGCATAACTGTCTTCCACTGTTTTGGCCCACTCCTGTGTCTGCAGGTTCTGCAGCCTTCCTGCTGGCTGCTGCTCACAATGCCTTGCCACCTCAAACATTCAGTGATTCTGACTGAACTGCTCATCTTGCTTGCAACACTCATCTCAGCAAGTTTTTTTTTTTTGGTAGTTGGTAGGTACAGGGATCTGAACCCTTGACCTTGGTGTTATAACAACATGCTCTCACAAAGTGAGCTAACCAGCCAGCCCTTATCTCAGTAAATTCAATAAAACCTGCAGGTGGGTTTTTCCAGAAAGGATCCGTGCCTGACTCTCTCACCACCAACTGGGAACCACTTTAAACTGAACCTTTGCAAGTTTGTCCTGAGGTTTTTTGAACCAGCCAGGCATACGAGTTTGGTTTAGAAATCTGAGTTTGTGAATTCTCTGGGAAGATCCTCCCCACCCCTACCTTGCATTCAGGTTCAAAGCAGACAGTTTATTTTGTAGTTCTGAGAGGGTGGTGGGGCGGGTGGCGGGTGGCGGGTGGCTTATGGAAGGTGTGGTCTATTTCTTGTTCACTCTCACCCTGAGTGCCCTTTGTTCCAGCTTTCTGGGGGAGAAGTCAGTTCTCTCATTAAACTAGCTTTCTTGGGCCCAGGCATAAAAAGACTTGACAACGGAAGCAAGTTAGCTTTGCTCTCAAGGCACAGCTGCCTTCAGTGTCCTGCTGACAGACCTGGGTTCCCTCCTTCATTCATTCCTGACCTGGTTGCTCCTCTTTCTTATTGGATCATACATGAACTAAAGAATGTTCTTATATTTTATCTGGCATTTATAATGGTTTCCAGAGGAATGACCAGACCAGGCACTGGTATACCAGGTTATCAAAGCTGAGCTCCATCTGCACCCATATGCTCACCCATTCTCAGGGACCCTGGTCCTGGAGTCTGCCACCCACCACATCAATGGCCACAGCCATACAAGCTGTGGCCTCACCAGGCTGGCCACTCACCCCTGGACGCGGACGGTGTGGGAGTGCTCTGTGCCACAGCCTGGCGGGCCGTGAGGGGGGTCGATGGAGACCGAGAGGCCACGTTTGCCATGAGCTGAGGCTGGGATGGACACGAAGGTGACTGTGTGGGGCAGGTGAGAGCCAGGGGAGTCAGGCAGGATCTGCTTGATGACGGGGGTCACCACGGTCTGGCAGTAGCAGTGTCCGCTGCAAGAGCCGGCAGCAGTGGGGACCCAAAGAGTGGGAAGAAAACGGTGTCAAGACATTCACCAGCATCAGCACTCCCTTCAAGCCCCCAGCCTCTTTTCTATTCCCCTCCTTCCTTTCCTCCTCCCTGAAGGGATGGACTTAGCTGACTGATGGCCCTGGGAGCAGGAACTGAGCATGCCAGTCAGCCCTCATCCCTCTTTGGGGCTCCGTCATTCTGGGTTTGTCTATGTCTGTGATGCTGTAAGATGGCCAAGACAAGGCCTGGGGATAAATCCAGTTCAGGAGGAAGTCATTAAAAGTCCATTTGGGATCAAGCCATTCTGTCCTCTAATCCAGCTTTATCGGTGTTGTAAAAGAAAGAATTTGTCTGGTCTTTGTCCATGGCTCCTGGGAAGGAGCCTCTAAATCTTTGGAACAGGAGCATCTTTTGTTATTCATGAGCCCCTCAGACTATGCCTGAGTTTATGTGAGACGACTCAGCTGGGGTCTGGTCACCATGTGATTAGAGGGTTGGGGCTTTCAGCCAGCCCAATCTCCAAGGAGGGGGCTAGGGACTGAGTTTAATCATGTGGCCCATGATTCAATCAGTCATGACCACATCATGAAACCCCAATAAAAACTCTGGATGCTGAAGCTCAGTGAGGCTTCCTGGTTGGTGAACACATTGATGTGCCAGGGAGGGAGGGAGGTGTCTCTTCACTTGGCTGGTCCTGAGCTGTCCCTCTTATTTATTTATTATTTTTTTTGCTACTGGCCAGTATGGGGATTCAAACCCTTGACCCTGATGTTATTAACACTGTGCTCTAACCAGGCCAGGCCTGAGCTATCTCCTTTGTAATAAAGCTGCAATCCTAAGTGTAGGGCTTTCTTGAGTTCTGTGAGTCGCTTAGCAAATCATCGAACTTGACGGGGTTGTGGGAACCCCTAAATCTGTAGTTAGTTGGTCAGAAGTGTGAGTGGCCTGGGGATCCTTGAGCTTGCAGGTGGTGTCTGAAGTGAGGGCAGTCTTGCTGGGGACTGTGTCCTTAACTTGTGGAGTCTGCGCCAACTCTGACGGCTAGTGCAAGAGCTGCATGGCAGTTACACACCAGTAAGAAAGCTGATGATTGAGGCTTTGTCAGTCTGATTCCTGTGTCTTATTTCTCAATCATTTCTACACTGAGGAGGGAAGGGAAGCATTCACATGTGTCCTCTCAAACCTCACCCCATGGCAAGGGCAAAGGCCTTGGGTGTGGGAGAACCAGTGCCCTTGCAGACCTGTGATACAGGTGGCACCCCAGGCTTAGACAGGGGCCCAGGCACTCACCAGTACAGCTTGGAGTGCTCCACCAGTGTGTAGGTGTCCCCGTCACCAATGAAGGTCCCACACGTGAGGCAGATGAAGCACTCGGGGTGGTACTTCAGCTCCCCAGCCACCTGGTGGGGGTAAAGGGGACAACCCAGCTCAGCAGCCCCTTCAGCTGCCATAGCTCCTCCCCTCCACCCCTCTCAGAAGGGCAGCCCCAAACAAGCTGTAGGGACCTGGCTGGCCCGTGGCCAAGCTCCTGGACATTAGCTGGTACTGCAGAAAGGGGGCTGAGGGATACAGACATGCAATCAGGCTCAAGAAGCATGGGGAGATCAGAGAACCAGTGAAAAGATGAACAAGAGATGACAGAAGAGAGACCTGGGGCAGTGCCACCATGAGGACACACCCCAGGGGAGGAGTGAGAGTGGGGGAAGGGTGCTCACCATGACCAGACCCTTGGTGATGTGCTCCGAGCACCCGTGGCAAGACTCGCCATAGCGGGCCCAGTAGTCCTTCTTGCAGAAGAGCTGCCCATCCTTCTCGTAGTACTGGTGTGAAAGGGAGGCACTGCATTCACAGCACCTGTGAGGATGGGGGACGGACTGAGGACGGCCCACGCCACCCCCTTCCCTACACCTGGGCCTTGCCCTAGTCTATGGACACCTCTTTTAAGAATTAGAAAGAGGTGTGCCCTCTGGGCAGCAGCAGGCTGGCACCTGGGCACAGGGCTTGGGAAGTGGAGCCAGGGATGGATTTAGCCCCTCACGGCTCTTCAACCGGATGCCTCTGTGCAGTGCACAGCCCGCACAACTGCCCACGACAGATCTGCACCCAGAGCTTCTGGGCCACCCGGGTTGGGGGGGGGGGTTCACATCTGACCCCTGACCATTGTCATGCAAGGAAGATGGCCAAGGAAGGGCAGGCGACTTGCTCCTGTCACCCTCAGGTGGAGGTGGAGGGAGGAACAGAATCTGGGAGCCCAGGACTCAGGTGGTGGGTGGAGAGATCTGTGGGTCCCACTCTTCTAGTGGGTGTCCTCCTTCTCCCCACTTCCCCTGGCCATGTGCAGGCAGCTCAGGCCAGGCACTGTGGGTGGCAGTGACTTTCATGTTTTCTTGGTTAAATTTACCTAATCCTCATAGGCAACCATGAGGCAGGTATGGCTATCCTCTTTTTAGAGGTAATGAGCTTCAGAAAGTCTAACCTGCCCAAGGCCCCACAGACGGGTGCCACAGGCCCCACAAAGCTACTCCCTGTTCCACTAAGATACAAGGGAGGAGTTCAGCTCAGTATGGACAAGCCAGGATTGCAGTCAGACACAGGATCTCCTGGTTTCCTAGACCTCAGCAACCCTACAGGTGCTGCCAGTCACAAGATGAAGGGGGCTTAGGGGACAGCTCGGCATATCCCCCCACCCTCCCTCAGGAAAGCAGCCACACTGTATGGAGCAGAATCCCCAGATGTGTGGGTCAAGACTGGGGTCCCCCTGCCCCATCACTAGGGGATACCAGGGAGGCCTGGCTGGTGGGGCCTCTGAAAGGCTGATGCGGAGAAATGACATCCTGGCCTCCAGATGCTGCACCACAGGCCAAGAGCTAGACCTACAAGCCTGGCTTCTTTCTACCCAAGCATGCCGGTGGGGTGACCAGTGCCCTGCTCAGCCATGATGAGCGGAGGGATCCTCCAGTGAGCTCACAAGGCATGAACCCCTCTGGGTTTTGGAGAGCCCGAGGCAGGGTCTTGGTGTCATGGGTATGTCTGGGCCAGAGCACACACCCATGCAGAGAATAGGCTGGGGGCTCCATGCAGCTCTGCTCAGGGTCACACAGGGACAGGGGGACCCAGGCTCTCTCTGCAGGGCAATAATCCAGCAGAGAGGTCAGGTGGGTACTGGGAATGGGTGAGACAGACCTTCCCCCAGGGTGGCAGGGAACCCTCTGCCATTCTGGGGCCACATATGGGACCACTCACCAACTCCTTATTAATCTACTGGAACTAAGGAAAGGGAGGACATCAGCAAGGAGCTGGTGGGACACTGTCCCTTTAAGAGGATCCAGCTGGTTCCCCATTGTCCGTAGCCTGAGGGGAGGGGCTGGGGCCAGGGAGCACAAACACCAGGGTTCAGAAGCACGTGGGTGGGGGTGCATCCAGGAAGGCAGGCCTGATGAGCTCCCCCGATGGGGGTGGGAGTGCGGGAGGAGGGCCTCAGGGAAGGGGCAGCAGGCTGGGATCCAGGACGTCATGGCCGTTGCCCCCCATGCTCTGGCAACAGCCAAGAGCAGGAGCCTGGTAGGGGGCAGGGTCTCACTGTGGGCTGGGAGGCCACAATGGGGGAGGTCCCCAGACCACCTCTATGGGCTCTAACCTACCTGGAGGTTTCCAGTGACTCGCTTTGCGCCTTTCCACCCACCACACACGGTTTCGGTCACAAAAATGTCGTAGGTGTCTCCCCATCACTCCCGGGTGGGTGGGTGGGGGCTCAGAACAGCTGCCCCCCTCCTGGGGAGGGGCTGCTCTTCTGCCTGGAAACTCCTACTCCTCCCGCACATTCATCTCTGCTGCCACTCTCAGCCGCAGCCAGGGAAGGCCCAGTGATGACTCATTCACTCAAGGGCCACCACTTCCTTGAAGTCTGCTGTGTGGCCCCCTCCCCGCCCCCATGCAGCTGCATCACCAGCCTAGGCCTGCCCACCAGACTCTGCTATTAACCTGTGGGCTCCCGGAGGCCCTAGGCCAGGCACCCCTAGGGCTCGTCCCAGAAAGGAGCACGGGGCTTCCTGTGGGCAGCCTGCTCCTGCTGTCACCTGCAGCTGCCCCAGGGCACCAGCGCTGCCTCCATCCCAGGCTGGGGCTCACTGGCAGAGGCTCAGTGGCTGACCTTTGCAGATGGAAGGCACACAGGTGCCCCGGACCCTGTCCAGCCCCTCACCCCTCAGGTCCCCATCCAGCCAGAAGCCAGAGGAGGCAGGTGGGGTAGGAAAGGCCTGACTCTTCGGAGTGCCCCACACAGGCCACCTGTCTCCATACAAGATGTCAAGAGAGCTATGCCAGGTACTGAGGGTGTGCAGTGCTGGCCCAGGGCCAGCCAGAGAGGAATTCCTTGAGCGTCATCCTCTGGTCCCCCTACAGGGAACCCCTCTTCGAGAGCAAGAGTGACAGAATCGAGAGCAAGAGCGACGGAAGACAAAGCCAGGGGCCAACAGGAGGGAGGAAGGTGCTGGGAGGGCAGGAAAGGGGTGCTCTGGAGCAGAGGAGGCTGGGCTGGGAGACAACGGTCACCTCTGCAATGATGGGTGTGAAGTGTCCCTCCCATGGGTGCCTCCCACCCAGGGCCACATCCCTGGACCCGAGGGGTGAAGAAAGAGCAAATGAAGGACTAGCCTCATGCAAGACTGTACCAGAAGGGCCAGAAGTCTCGGCAGCGGCCTGTTCCCCACCGAAGGTCAACCGACAGAGACCAAGGAGTTTCAGTTCTGCCCCACAGCCCGGCCCCATGTGGGTCTGTCCCAGTTTTCTCCAGTGCCAGCCCTCACCCCAGGGGCCCTGCCTGAGGCCTGGGACAGGTGGGGAGGGGACTCTCCACTTACTTAGCCCCTCTGAGGAAGCGGCTTCTCTTCAATGCTGAGGCCAGCATCCTCTGCAGGGGGCCCTGGAGCCTAGGGGAGCACGGGGCGGCCTGACCAGCTGCTTCCCCATCCTACTGTGGGGGTTCAGGATTGGAGGCTGCTGAGGGTGGGGCTAATGTGGCCACACTACATGGGAGGAGGACGCAGCAGTGTGGGTGCAAGAGGACTTGGTCTGAGCCTGTGGCAGGAAGCAGCTTAGGTGCCTTCTGCTTGGGTTTCGGTGCAGGTGGGGAGGGACAGACCTAGGCTCTGACCCCAGGCGGTGAGGCTGTGGCCAGCACTCCACCCTCAGTCCTGCACCCTGCCCCTCCCCACAGGCACCCCGCATGCATGCTTCTTGGCCCCTGCCATGAGAAAGGCACTGGGGGCTTGGGCCTCTCTGGGGACAAGGACAAACTAAAAAGCAGCTGCCTCTTCCGGTGCTATCCCCAAGGGAACAGAGGTCGACTTCCCATGGACAGTCTGTCCTCGCCTGAAAGATCCAAGGAAGGGGAGCAGCATCCCTGTGCAGGCTCCGACCCCGGCCAGCTGCGTGCTCACCCCTCCTCCATGCGCCTGGGGCCAGCACTCCAGACTGCAGGGAGGCGTTTCCAGAGCTACGGCAGCCCCAGGGGAACTCCAGAGGCAGCAGCTGGGCCAAAGGGAGGCCAGGACCACTCTCGGCCTGGCTATAATCTTCCAGGGGGTGGAGCCCACAGAGGGTGGGACTGTCAGAACAGAGAAAGGGGTGAGCCCCAGGGTGGCAATTAACCCCCAGTGCTAATGCCAGAGGCACCCCTGGGCTGGCACAGCCCTTCCACTGTGCACAGAGGGGCATGACATTCTTCTCCAGGCAGAACCTGTCCTCCTGGCTCAGTGCTCCTACAGCCCCCTAGGCCACCTGTCACAACACCTACAGTCCTGCCTGTCACGCCAGCCTGGGACTATCTCAAGGGCAGGGGCCTTGGGGCCGGGTAGCATTCAAGTCATGAAATTCTGGGCCGGCCTGTGGCTCACTCGGTAGAGTGCGGTGCTGATAACACCAAGGCCACGGGTTCGGATCCCATATAGGGATGGCCGGTTCGCTCACTGGGTGAGCGTGGTGCTGACAAGTCATGAAATTCACAGCAGATGCACAGCCACGGGCACCTGCCACAGCCCCACAAGGCTCTGTACTCCCCATGCTGGCTCCCCCTTACATCTCCCCAGCTGCTAACTCCAGTCCAGCCCACTGGCCCCTCGCTATTGCTCAGACCTGCCAAGCACATGCCTCCCTCTGGGCCTCTGGATGTGCTCCTCACCAGACCCCCAAACGCAGCTCCCTTGCTTCCTTTCCTCCATCCTCCGCTTACACACCACCTCCTCAGAGCCCATCTCCAGGACTCGACACTGCGGGTTTCACTGCCTGTCTGGCCCACTAGAAGGCATGGACCCTGTTGGTCTGGGAGGGGGCAGGGCTGGGGCTGGACTGAACCAGGCCACCTGGGTTTGGGTCCCGACTACTCCTCACTTGCAGTGAGACTTGGGGCAGTGACTGAACTCTGCACCTCAGCTTCCTCATCTGGAAAATTGCTTTAATAAACAGCACCCACTTCTTGGGCTGGCATGCGGGGGCCTAGCACAGAATAGGCGCTCCATGGTTAGTTGCAAGTAACTGACTCAGGGACCCCAGGAGGTTCCAGCAGGAAGGGCATGCGGAGGGGCACGGAAGGCAGGGGGTGCAGTAATCATGGGGTCACCTCCCCCCATCTGGGAGCAGAAGAGCTGGCTGGAGGCCACAGGCCCCTCACAGCCTTGTCTCAACCCTCATGCCTGAGCACCTTCAAAGGGATAAGGGGCCCTGGAACAAAGGTCTCAGTGCTATCAAGTGAGGTCTGGGCTGGGCCCAAGGCCTTGGAGCTCAGGGACTGGTGCTGGTTCCCCCTCATGGCACTGAGATGCTTCCAGAGGGAAACCCAGCAGAATCCAGAGCCTGGGCCATCCCTCCGAAAGTCACGTGCCCAGGCAAGAAGCGACCCCTCTCTGAGCTGTTTTCCTAACCATCATTGGGGGACGATGCTTTTAGTCTCCCCCAGCTTTGGGGGCTGTTGGCAGAACCATACACTACTGGGCCAGGAATGGGTGTGGAAGCCACGACGTGGAAGCTGTGGCTCTTACTGCCTGAGAGCTCTCCCTCATCGTGGGACCCTCTTGTGTCCTGCCACACCAGGGACCGCATGTACATGCCTCTCCCTACTGTCCCACCTGGGACCTCACCCTCTCCTGGTGATGCAGGGCAGGTCACTCCAAGGCTAGGTACAGTGCATCTTGCCCTGCTGCCACCTCCACCTCCTGCTTCTGAGGTTGCACTCCTGGTCCTCCCCCATGTTTCTCAAAGCTCCTTCTCCCTCCCTACGCCAGGCACAGGGGCCCCCAAAGTTCTCCCCTTGATTCGTCTTGGCCCCATCACAAATCCCATCCACCGTCCCAGCACCACCTCTGCAGGGTCATTCTCTCTGTCCATCCTACCTCCAACTGCACTCAGACCCGTGCAGCTAGCTTGGTCAGGGTGTCACCATGCTGGAGAGCTCATGGCTCCTCCAACTCAACACAGGCACAACTCAGCACTAGCCCGGTCTCTGACTCCACCAGTCAATGGACGACCACCCTCCCCAGCACCCAGGATAGAAAACCAGACCTGCCACTGGCCACTCCGACTCCCCAGCCCAAAGTCCTCACCTCTTCAACTCTGCAAGGATGTGGAATGAGAAAGACGCAGGTTTCAGTCCCTGCTCTAGCTGCTGCCACCTCCAGCAAAGTACCTGACTTCTCTGGGACTCCATTTCTCACATGCAAACTGGGCAAACGTGGCACCCCATACGGTGAGAGTCTAATGAACTAACATTAAAAGAGTACTCGGTAAACAGTGGCTAATATAATACTTGCCAAATATTGTCCCTTCTATATGTGAAATCCTCTCCACCCTCAGTCACTGTCCTAGTCAGGCCTTATGAACTCAGACCCCCAAACTCTTGTGACGGTCCCTTCCCTGCCAAGCTACCACATCTGCCCACGGGGATGGCATTCTGCGACAGGTCCGCCTGTGCTGCTCCCCGGCTTTCTTCTGGCTACTGATGGCCTTTAGAAGGTCCATATCTTGGCATTAAGGGCCTTTCACAAACTGATCTTAACTCTGCCTCCTGCTTGCATCCCCTTACTCACTCTGTTCCCTCAGTGGGCTGCACATCCACCTCCCTGTGCAGGTAGTTTTCTCTGCCTGGTGAGAGCCCTCTTGCTCCCCAAAAGCCTCCTTCTGAGCACCTAATTCAGAACCCCAGGGTACACTGCCTCCCTCTCTTGTGGCCCCACCATAGTGTGGGTGCCGTGTGTTCATCTCACCCACTGGCTGAGTGACTTCAGTCAACAGAATTAACTTCTCTGTGTCTCAATTTTCTCCCTGGCAAAGTGGAAACACATTATCTATCTATGCAAACTGCTTAGAACAGTGCTTCACTCTTATAAAATGCTAGAAAATGGTAGACATTATTCTTAAAAAAAAAAAAAAAAAAGGGAAAAAACCCAAACCTGGTCAGAAGCCTAAAACACATCCCAGCAGTCGATGCCCCGACCCCTACTGGGCCTCTCACCTCCCCTCCTTTATGACGCTTTGCCCCCCTGAACTTTGCCGTTCGCCGATTACGCCAGGCCCTCTGCCTGGAATTCCTTCCCACCACCCTTCTCCACCCAGGAAATCTCACATCCTTTCAGACCCCTGCTCTGGTCCTATATAGCCAACTCCAAGGCTATCCCCTGCACCTGGCTTCTCAGGATGGTCCTCCTGGTTACTGGGCCACCTTTGGGTCCCCATGTGTTCTGCTTTGTCCTTGGCCTCAGCTCTGACCCTACTCTTCTCCTGCACATGGGTGTCTGTGTCTGGAGGCCAGGGCTGCTCTTACTGGGGTAAGCATCTTCACAACCAGCCCAGGGCCCAGTGAAGGTGGCTCAGCTTCACTCAAGGCCTGGTGTGTCTTTTCCCTCCCCCGAGCATGGGCACCCAGAAGGCAGGAGAACGCGGCCCCTACTTCCTCCACTGGCCTTGGTGCCAGCAAGGCCTTGGTAATACTGACTGAAATGCAGTCTTTCCCATCCTCTCCTTAGAGGTCTAAAATGACAAAACAGGAAGGCCTTTAGGGATCTTCTAGTCAAAAGGCCTCATTTTACAGATGGAGAAACTGAGGCCAAGGATTCCCTGGAAGTCACAACCAGGGACAGCAGCAGGAGGAATATCCAGGTCTCCCAGTTTCCTCACCCAGCTTGTCCTCTCTGGCATGCTTTGCTTGGGGCAGCAGAAACCTGGGGTGCACTGCCCTACCTGAAGCAGTCTGCATGCCAGTCAGCATTCAGGGCCTGGAGGTACTGGCCGTCATAAATCCTCTGGCCGCAGCTCGCACACACAGGCAACTCACTTCCTGCAGAGGTAGAAAGGGAGTTGGGAACCATTCTTAGGCATGGTTTGGTGTAGGCCCACACTGTCCTGCCGACCCCACATGTACCTGCACAAATCCTCATGCACCCAGGCTGAGCAGTGACTGTGACAAGCAGGAGAAAAGATGTTGGTCTGAGAGTCTTGCTGAGACACTGGCTAAGTTACCAAGCCACTCTGGACCTCAGTTTCCCTACCCATAAACTGAGAAGGAGGATCAGAGGTCTACCCTCCAGCAATAGCATTCTTCAACTTAGGGTCTGGCACGGTAAATGGGGAGAAAGCAAGCACTGTAATTTAGAAATAAGGCAGTGGGTGACACTCTTGTCATAGCCCCCTTTCCTCTCTGCACAGAAAGAAGTGCTAAAAGGGCCCTTCAAAGAGCAGGAACTGGATAGGGCTGGGATGGTATATCCTGAGCTGAAGCCCCCTGGGAGGGAAAGGGCAGGAAGCACAGAGTTTCTGGCCCTGAGCCTTCGTTATGCCCTGGCCTGATGAAGGGCCAGGACTGCAGGGCTAGGTACTCCCAGACACCTGCTCCAGGGAGGCCTGGCACCTCCTCAAGACAGCCCCTAGGCGTGCT